AAAGTTCCATGGTAGGTTAGCGGACTTCCCTGGTTAGCCAGCATTCCGGCTAGTCGCCTTCGTGAGAGCCTGGGAAGTTGGAGATCAGTGTGACTCTATCCTCTTAAATCACTTCAATTATATGAACAGTCCATCATAGACTAGTGCATCTGGGGAGCTATCTCAGATTACAAACACGAAGGCTAACCTGGGAACTACCTTAAGTTTGTTAGGACAACAGCTAGGCTGACTCATGATGGGTGGGTCCAGATGGCCTGGCCCCTCAACATGAAATGGATTTCACTTGGAGCCAATACAGGTCAGGGAGCGGGCCGAGCTCCTTATAGCGAGAGACATTCGTTTTTCTCGTTCATTCGTTCACTTTGGATTTCGAGCACATTCCGAAACGCTTCCTAAGTTTTGCGCGCTGAAGTATGGGCTCTCGCATCAAAGTCCGTACAGTTATATCGAGCTCCCTCCCCCATCCTGTGACCTCTCTTGGGGTCTCTGATCTTTACTTCCCTAAGCCATAAAGTGCTACCTCACCCAGGAGCTTAACGGTCGCCCAGTTTCGCCAATGTATACATGCCCGCATAGCGCACATGAGACCAGGCAGATCACAAATGACGTAATGCAGTCATCCGCCCACCCATGGGGAGAGATCACACAATACGGGGTATTACATTTCAAGTGCACCCGGCAGTAGCAAACCAGCTGTTTCTTAAGGTTCGCGCGGCGGATTCCTCCTCGCGAACTAGGTCGTCGAGGCCACACTGCACTAGGCCGCTCTTATGGTTGAGCTGATCGCATCACTCACAAAAGGCGTACAAAAGGGCCACGTCATCAGGTTGCTCGACGGCCGAGCCGTTCTGCATCCTACTGGGTGTCGTTTGACGCGATAGGAAAAGGAATGTTCTGAGCGAACTCCAAGGATTCCGCTTTCTCCTGGCGAACCTATCACAACTATACGTCCACCCCTTAATTTACCAAAGAAATTCTTGAAACGGTGATCAAGTTCCATAGTGAGCCGTTTCAGATTCTACGTATGGAAAAACCGGAGGAGCATGTTTCCAGAAAAACAGCTCTATAAAAGTTTACAGGTGTTTTTGATTTTTCGACCGTTTCATACCATACGTCCATCTTTATATAGGACTCCAAAAAATTCTCCGTTCTAGCCTGGTTATGTGTTCTTATCAATATAGACGACAACATGTCTCACTGTGATGCCACGCGGTCCCCGTCTGTCTTCGGAAGAAAAGGCCCAAATTCGGGCCCTACACCAGGCCGGACTCAGCAATCGGCGGATTGCCAAGGAAATTGGCAGGTCTCACTGCGTCGTCTGCTCCTACCTCAGAAATCCTGAGACTTACGGCAGTGGTGGAGCCAACAACGTCAACGCAAGCTGTCCACCAGGAAGACTGGCAAATATGGACCGACACTAGACCATTCGTGCTCCTTCCTGGTAAGTAGGTCCTCCCTCACGCACTTTCGGTGGAGAGAGGGCCGGTCGGATTTCCTCCTCGTGTGAAGATCTTCTCTCACGCATTTTCAGACGAGAGAGTCCGTCGTGCTCCTTCTTGGTGTGAAGTGTTTCTTCATTCACGCATTTTCAGAGGAGAGGGCCAGTCATGTTCCTTCCTGGTGTGAAGTGGTTCTTCATTCACGCACTTTCAGAGGAGAGGGCCAGTCATGTTCCTTCCTGGTGTGAAGTGGTTCTTCATTCACGCACTTTCAGAAGAGAGAGGGCCGGTCGGATTTCCTCCTCGTGTGAAGATCTTCTCTCACGCATTTTCAGACGAGAGAGTGCGTCGTGATCCTTCTTGGTGTGTAGGTATTCGTTC